AATAATTAAACACAAAAACACATTAGATCAACTAGTTTACTAAAGTGTGCTAGTTTTCTTTTGAGGTTGGTATTTTAATTTGTATAAAATATATTATCTTTTTTTAATTTAAAACTTATAAAATATATTCAGTCAACTTCCTTGCTCAAAATAATTATGTAAAGGTTACCGATCATACTAATCGGCTGAAATGATAAGATTTGAAAGGTAGAGGATAAAATAATTTTTCGGACGATCAAGGTTTCTGTAACTTTTTATAAGCATAACTGTTTATGTAACACATAAATAACACTTTCTGTGTTTCCAATTTAATTTTACTAATTTGCCCTAATTGGGTAAATTAGTAAAACTTAATTCGGAAATTTTAGCAAAATCCAAAACTTTGACATTCTATAACTTAAGATAAGAGAAAACACATCAAAAGGTGTTTCTTAATACAACTACTTCTGCTTGTGTTGAAAAAAAATAAATGTATATATCGTTTTTACAAATTTATAAATTACATCAGAAATAATATAAGCACGAGGTGGTAAAAATCTTGAGTTAAATTTACAGTCTACATCAGTAATTATACAAGCATAAGGTAGTGGAGATATTGAGTCGAGTTTGCAGAATACATCAGCATTAATACAAGCTCGAGGTGGTGGAGATAATAAGTCGAATTCGCAGAAAACATCAGCAATAATACCAGCACAAGGTGGTGAAGATATTGAGTCGAATTCGCATAGTACATCAGCATTCGAATATTCACCACGTTTGCAATTAAAATGTTTTTTTAGAAAACATCCAATTCAACAACATGAACATTTGCGGTTTAATAATAAAACCTACAAACGGACTTGAAGAATAGCATACCGAGAAATTGGTTGACATTTAGACGAAATTCTCAACCTCTATATTACTCATTTTGTGCTGCATTTAAATCACCACAGTCTATCATCGTTTCATCATTTGTGTCTGGGTTCAAAGATTTTAGACGAGTTAGCCAACAAGTTGCTGAACACGAATCCAGCAGCACTCACCGAAGGCATGTTCTTGATTACAGCTGCTTCTATTGTACCATGCAATGACGGCACCGGCCAAGGCTTGTTTGACCTCTTAAATTTGACACTGCAGCGGCTTGGCTTTAATTTGCAAAACTGCCTATCAGACAGCATGGATGGTGCTTCAAGTTATCATAGTCAAACAACAGACTACAACAAAAGATAACAGAAGTTGAAGACCACCATTAATATATTTGGTGTTATCCTCATGTTCTCAATTTAGATGAGAAGGAGTCAAATATTTGCGGCATTCAGGCAGTTTCATTTGTTAATCTTTTGCAAAATATTTCAACATTCATAAAAGTGTCATATAAGCAAATGGCAACATGGATTAAACCTATTGGAACACAAACTAGAATGGACAAGATGAAAAGATTAAAATTGATTGGTGAAACAAGGTGTGCTGATAAATCAAATGGTACAACGGCGATGTTTGGAACATTTACTTAGCCATCTTCAACTGTGTTTGTCAATTTAATGTCAGGTGTATCATGTGTAAGCGAATCAGAAAATTTTAATGCAAAGACAAGTCATGAAGCTAAGATATTGCTCATGCCATTTTTGACATTTGATACTGTTATGACTGCCTTTACTTTCCAAATTTGATACTTTTATGACTCTTTTACTGCCAAAACCTATAACAATTTGTATCATGTTTATAAAATAATATGTACTATTTCTGTAACACTAGCAAATGTGAAAGATTGTTTTCTAAGGTAAAGTTAATCAAGACAAGATTGTAAAATTCGAATAACCTCTTAGAGTCGTATATGTTGATGTCTGTAGAAAAAAGTCTACTTGATAGCCTTGAATCTGATGCGATCATTCAAAAATATGCATCTTTGTCCTCTGAATTGAGCAAACTATTTAAATAATAGTTATTGCTATACTTTGCACTGTACAAATTGCCCATCACATGTACTTTTTTATTTCAATATAATTTTATTAGTCTGTAATTCAATTGTTTCTCTTAAGACTTATTTTTAGAAATTTGCGGACCAGGCAGTCTTGACGATAAATGTATGGTCGGGAGGGCCCTTTAATTATCTTCATGGCAGTTAATATATATACAGATAGTCCACCAATGTATGAAGGACCTCTTCCTACATAAACTAACAACAAGTATTTTTTTAACCATATTTGATGAGTATTTTTGTTTTCCAATTGCGATTCCGTGCTCTGATATTTCATCTCAGACTGTAATTAAATTTTTTTCACAAATATTCTGGTTTGCCAAGAAAAATCCATTTCAATAGAGGTTCAGCTTTCATCAGTAAATAATTAATACAATACTTACTAGAGAAAGGTATTGCGACAAGTCATATTACAGCATGTAACATTTAAGGGAATGGTCAAGCAGAAAAGTATAATGGAACCATAATAAAGTCTATTGAGATTGCTAATAGACAACACAGTTTACGCAATCAAAGTTTCGCAAAAATGTATTATTAGATATTCTTAATTCTATAAGATGTTTAATAAATGTTAAAACATGGAGACACCTCATGAAGGAATGTTTAAGCACCTTTGTAAAACAGCCACTTATTAATATTGGTCCAGCCATGTCATCCTGGACCAATATTATTAAAAAAAACATTTACATATTAATAAGTATGAACCACTGGTAGACGAAGTTCAACTCTTAGATGCTAATCCTCAATATGCTCACATAAGGTACCCAGATGGAAGGGAAAAGGTTTCGTTAAGACATTTGGTTCCATCAAGTTCCACTCCGATCATTTATCAAACAAATCATATTAAACATTCCCCAGAGAATGCCTTTAATAAGGGTAGAAAGGTACCCTTACAAATGGTTAACACCTAAGAAATATAGGGATTTACGAATACCTATCCTGAAAACTCTCTTAAACAGCCTCCTCTTTATCAACCTCCACTAGCTGAAAATCTTGTTAATGATTCTTTTTCGATAGATCCATTGTTATCAATAACACCTGGAAAAGGCGCGCGTAGATCCTCAGGAGTAAATTGCTACCATAACTGCATGTAGAAGAAGATATATACAGAGTTTTGTTTGTTTAATATGAACTCTGTTTATATTATGGTCTCAGAGAATCTTGTGTTTTGATTAATTAGTTTATTTATTTTAGAGTATAAAAACTTAGAAAAATTAAAATTGTTGTTGTTCTTTATACAAGTGCTTCATATTTAAAACATACATAAAAAAACAATTTAATAGTTATGAGCATCAAAACAAAAAATATTAGCTCGCGATGCGCCTGTTAATTTAGTATCTCCTGTTATTTTAGAACACAATAGTAAACTTTCCAGTTCTATAATTTTTGGATAACGAAAAACCTGATTTCGAATTATTTTAAAGCGTTCTATCTAATTCCAACGTGAGTAAAACTTTTTCTAGGGGTATCTTAAAATATTTAATAAAACATTTAAAATATTGATTCATCAGTTAATTTCAACATTGCAGCGTTATGAAATTAATAAAAAAAAAGACTGCTTTAGGTTCTGACAATTGCAACACACATTTTGGTGGAGTACATAGAAAAGGTAAAAACAATGTTTGCAACAGACTTAAACAAGAACTTGGTGTTAATATTGTTGACATTGGATGTGGCAAATATATTGAGCACAATACACTTTAACCTTCTGTGGATGGCCATCCAATTGAACTTTAAACTCTTATTGTGAAAGTTTATAAGTATTTTCATGTCTACACAGTTCGAGTAACGGAATTTTATGATTTTGAAAATGCGGAATATAGAAAAGTAAAACAGCATGGAATTACTAGAATTCTTTCTCTGTTAACCGCAGTTGAAAGAATTTTGTATATGTTTGAGGCACTTAAGTCATACTTTGTTTCTCAAGAAAACTGTCCACGTGCTTTGCAAGCATTTTTTGAAAGTGAAAAAGGCGAGTTATTTTTCTGGTTTGTAAATTGTCAGCTAAATAACTTTAACAAAACTGTAAAAGTTATGGAAAAAAGTCAATAAAATGCATCAGACATTGTTTTTGAACTTGAAAAATTAAAATTTAATGTTGAGGAAAAATTGAATAATAATTTTGTCTTAAAAGGAGAAAACAGTTGCTTAGAAAATGTAGTGCCTAGGATATTAATACATATATAACAGAGGTAATTTCCTTCTTTAAACAATGTATTTCTAACTTTGAACTGCGGGAAAATAGTTTTGGTCGGGCTGAGATTGCATGGATAAGACTTGAGTGGGAGAATATTGAACAATCTGCTATAAACAATATTCATGGTTCAGATGATCAACAAAAAAAGAATATTCGCAGTCTTTTTGATAAGATATCAAGTAGAAAAACACTTTTTGCATTAAAAAAGGAACAACGATAATCCAAATTGCTTATGCTGACAAAAAGATTCAATTATTCATCTTTAATAAAAAGACATTGGTATACCTAATCTGGTAAAAATTATTAAATACCTTTAGAATTCGCCAAGAACATCTGCACCTGTAGGGCGAATTTTTTTAATATTTGTTTAGATGACCGAGGTATTTTAATGGTACGTGCATTGCTGCACTACAAGTTGAACATTGGCGTTACATGCCTAAGATCTCTTTTGCAGCCAAGCAATTGAGAGCTTCCTTTTTTATATAAAAACTTTCATGGAACCTAGTTACAGGTTGCCATGTTTTTTGAAGTACAAAAATACACTATTTTTTTCCCACTCCTATCTCCCTGAAGATTTGTTTCAACCTTCCGCAACACATTCCCCTTATACTCTCGTAAACACACATACACCAATTCCTTTTTTTAAACAACCACCTCGTCCTCCGCTGACGCAAACCCTGCCTGTCCCGAATTACAACTTCAAAAGTATGGTAAGCCTAATTATAATATAAGTAGGTTTACCCTATTTTTGATATTATAAAGATATTTTTAGTTTTAAAGATATTATAGTTGTAGATTTATTTTATATATCTAAGTAATAGCAACCTATTTTTTTATTTAAATTAGACTCATGAAGAATTTATAAAGATTTATGGAGGATGTTTGAAACTTCCAAAGGGTAATGTAAATATCACGAAAGGATCTACATTTTTACCTCCTAATAATGTCAATATACCTGCAAAGATAGATTGGAGAACGAAAGGTTACGTTACCCAAGTCAAGGACCAAGGACTAGAGTGTGGATCATGTTATGCATTTAGCGCCGTAACTATATTTTTTTATATTATTTAAAATCATTTTTTAACAATTATTTACAATTAAGATTCACATTCATGATACAAAATGATATAATGCAGTTTAATGCATTATACAATTGCCAGTAAGAAACAATACACAAACTTAAAAACTTCATCATTACACTAAAGTATAAAAAACAAAATAAAAAATCATTTTTTGTTGTTTCTATGGATAAGGATATTTCCATGGATAAAATGCTTTAAAAATATAAAAACTTATGATGTTAAAATAAACGTTTATTTTAACATCCTAACCCAGTGGGCACCCGACGTCAATCCGACGTCGGATTGACGTTTGATTTTCATCAGCGATGTCAAAAGACCTATTCCGACGTTGTTCCGATGTCAGTAAAATGACGTCGGGCGATGTCTTTATCTCAACATCCCCTGACGTCGTTTCGATGTATTTTGACGTTGTTCCGACATCTTATAAAAGACGTCCAAAAAACTTCGCAGTACTGACATCGATCCAACGTCGATAAAAAGACGTCGGGCAACGTCATAATATTAACGTACTCCGATGTCTTTTGACGTCTTCCGACGTCAATCCAACGTCCTTAAAACGACGTCGGAACAACGTCGTAAGACATCGCTGATGAAAATTTAATCCAAACCCAACAATATGTGTGCAATTGCGCTCTTCAATAATTATGTGAACTAAGCGTGTTTTTTTATTAATGAAAAAAAGTTTGAATAAAGGTTGATAAAACATCATGAGGTTTTGTATGATGCACTAGCATAGTTTTTTAACTATTAACATTTTCGAGTATACATTTTTTATAATATATAACTATTCGTTTTAATATTTATATAATATTTAAACAAAATTATTTCTTATCAAAGTAATAATTCCCAAATAGCTACAAGTATAAATTACTAAATAAACTCATCAATTAATATGTCCTTGTTGTGTAGTGGTAAGCGCACAGGATTTAGTAACTAATAGACCGAGGTTCGATTCCTTGCTAAAGGCAGCGTTTTTTAGTTTTCAAAAAACACGTTGGATTTACATCGGAATGCCGACGTCGCGCGATGTCAGTTTATCCGACGTCAAATAACATTTCCATTTCCAACGTAAACCCAACGTCGATCCGACGTCGAGATCCGACGTCGCTCGACGTTCGTTCGACGTCGAAATGCCCACTGGGAAGGTTTAATATTTTTAAAGCATATTCTATTATCTATTTATCTTCATTTAAAATTTTTGTAAAATATATCTAATTTTTTTATAAATAAAAAAATATGTTTTAAAAAGTATTTCAATGGAAAGTCTATTGAACTTTTATAAATTTTACATTTTTAAAGTATACCTAAACATTTATTTGCAAATTTATTTTTATCTTTACATTGTTAATTTTAACCTTATTTCATAAAGTTAGAAGTAAAAATTAATTTGTAAAAAAATATTTTAACATTATGAAATTAATGATATAAGATTAATTATAAAACTAAACATAACGTTTTAAAATCACTTATCAATTAGAAAAAAATTGAATAGCTGAATACCGTGATTAAGAAAGCAAGCATCGGTAATACAAAATGCCATTACACAAGCATCGGTAATACAATGACATTATACTTTAAATTGAAAGTAAATGCTGTTATTTAAAAATTAATTAAAAACACTACAAATTTAGGACCTAAACTAAGTTATTTCACAGAAAAACACTTAGTAATTTGAGCATACTAATATTACACATAAGTAGTATCTTTAAATTAAAATAAAGCTAGTATTATAAGTTAATAGTAAAAATGTTACATTATACTAATGTTATTAATTTAAATTTTATTTAATACTAAGAGCAGTTTTTTGTAACAATAAGAGTTTATGTTAAATTGAAAGAATAAGGGTTTATTTTTAACTACACATTACTTGTACCAATTGTCATTACTGAGTGATAGTGTAAGACCTTACAAATAAAGTACATTTTTTTTTTTTAAATTATTTTTCCTCATTTGACACATTTTACAATGTTAACCTTGCATTCAAATAAATTTATACAAATGCAAGCTGACTGGGCAATGCAAGTTGAAGACAAAATGTTTTATAATCAAGCCCCTTCGTGAAAAAAAAAATTTACAGTTTCCAATAATATATAAAAGAGTGAAATTAAAAAAAGTTTAAAAAAACATTAAAAAGTTTGAAAAAATCAAAAAGTTTAAAAATAATTTTTAAGTTTGAAAAAACTAAAAAGTTTGAAAATAATAAAAAAAGAAAAATGTGTCTACATATATATATATACATATACATACACACATATACATATATATATATATATATATATAATATATATATATATATATATATATATATATATATATATATATATATATATATATATATATATATATATATTTATATATATATATATATATATATATATATATATATATATATATATATATATATATATATGTATATATATATATATATATATATATATATATGTATATATATATATATATATATATAATATATATATATATATATATAAATATATATATATGTATATATATACATATATATACATATATATATTTCAAACTTTTAATTTGTTTTTTTAAACTTTTTTTAATTTCACACTTTTATATATTATTTGAAATTGTAAATTTTTTTTTTTTTTTTTTTTTTTTTACGAAGGGGCTTGATGATAAAACATTTTGTATTCTACTTGCCCCAGTCAGCTTGCGTTTGTATAAATTTGTTTGAATGTAAGGTATGGAAATTGGTCTATAGTTAGATTTTATCGAATCATCGCCGCTTTTGTATATTGGAAATATTTTTGCTAGTTTTAGTTGATGCCATTTCTTAGGGAAAGATTAAAAATTATAAAAAGAGGTTTCTCAATAATATCAGAGACCGCTTTTACGACATCGAGGTTAATTTCATCTAGACCCGCACTCTTATTTGTTTTCAACATACTAATTGCTAGTCGAAGTTTATCAACCAAAAGCTCCGACTCATCCATTATGGAACCTGATTTTTTCAAAAAGGATTGAAATAATTTACCCTCTCCCCTCACGAATTACACTGGTTAGTTTTTTCCCTTTATTTATAAAAAAGTCATTAAATGTTTCTGAAATTTCTTTATTTACAAAAGCATCTCCTATATTACCATCTCTTTGCACTCGTTTTGGGAAATTATCAATTTTTACATTTCCTACGCCTGTTACTTCTTTATTTACAATCCATGTTTTTCTTGCATATCCAAGTGTTTCATTAAGCAAGAAGGAATAGTAATTTTTTTTTGATTGCTTTTTTAACTTTTTGAAAGAATTTTTATGTTTTTTGTATTTTATTTCATTTTAGTAGTTCTTTTTTTTTTAAATATTTGGTAAAGTTTTTATTTCTTTTTTGATGACTTAATTAGTTTTTTTTCATTTTTTTATAAGTTCATTTTTATATAATATAATAATAGTTTATAAGTTTCATTATTTATAAGTTCTCTGTATTTATCATTAAATAATTTTCTGACTTATGTCTGGTCTCTAATCCTAGTCAGTAATACTACATTCTTTTTCATCGTCAGAATCCCTTTATCATCGTATCTCATACAACTATTTTAAATACTCTTATGTAACATATACGACTCAAGCTGGTATGGAATCTTTTATTCTATCTTGAGAATTTTAAATTAAGTCTTACTTTTATACATGATTTTACGCTTATTGTGCTGCTCCAAACTCCAATCTTAACCTTTATATCTATATCACCAAAACAGTTTACCAGAAAATAAACATCTGTTTACTATTCCTAGAAACCATTGTAAAAAGGTTTGGTCAAAAACCAAAGCGCCTCTATTCTCTAGTTGTGCTCCAGAGACTTATAAAGAGTCTTTATTAGTGTCTGTTATAATAACAAATCTGTTATTTTAGCTCTCTTGTATGGTTCAGATTTTGTTACCGCATTTAAAGAAAAAGCTGAAATTATTTGCTTGGAACTTTTCATCAATCTCATTGATTGATTTCACTAATAACATCCTACCTGATGTGACTGACAAACAGGTTAATCCATTTTCGACGTTTAATTCACTCCAACTTCTGTATCTAAAGTGATTTCCTGCTTAAAACCTTCTACGGCTTGTGGTCGGAACAACATGCTATGTTGTCCGGGCCACACGCCATAGAAGATTCTAAGTTTTTTAAGTAAACTTTGTTTGTCTTGCAAAAGTTTTTTCCGGAATTTTTGTCTATATTTTCAAAACTGTTTAACTAATGCTTAACAGAGTTTTGATGTCCAGCCTGCTGGAAAGCAGCATCTGGTTTCCCTATTTTTCCTATTTTTAAAAGTTCTGGAAAATATTCTGACTTGTCTAACTACTGTCCCAGTAGTCCTCTTACTATCATAAGCAAGGTTTCTAAATTTTTAGTTAACAAAGACTTAACCTCACGTCTTTTATCTATTAACTTACTTTCAGATCATCAATACAATTTTCAATCTTTTTTTTCTACTGCTGATTTGTTAAAGGTAATAACTTATAGATTTTATCGTGCATTCGGTAGATAAAGAGGTTATTGCTTTAAACAATTATAAAAACTTTAATAAAATTTGGCATACTGGTCTTCTCTACAAGCTCACTTCTGACGATGTATCATATAACATCTTTAAGATTATTGGACCCTTTCAAATGATCTTCTCTTAACAAATGTGGTATACAAGTTAATATAAAGGATTCCTCAAGATTATATTTTAGACCCTATAATTATTTTAGTTTGCATTAATGATCTCGCAGAAATTCTTAAATCTAAGATGGCGTTGCTCGTTCATGATACTATCACTTATTCTTATTTTGATAAGAAGCCTACGCTATCTGATTGCTTGAAAGAGACATTTGAGCTTGAAAAAGATCTCAATTCTGTTATACCATGGGGCTTTCAATGGCTAATAAACTTTAACCCAGATAAAACAGTTTTTTTTCACTAAAACGTTATTGCAATAATTAGGATCTTCTTATATTTATAATTGGTAATATACTCAATGGATCGTCTAGCCTTTGTGTTTTAAGACTAACTCTTACTTACAATCTTTCTTGGAAACCATATATAAAATCTATTATAAAATTAGCATCTGCTAGGTTGCATATCTTGATCGCCACTTTTTTATTACGCATTCTTATTTTTATCTCAATAAATCTCTAATCCATTCTTGTACGGAAAACTAATGCCATATCTGGCGCAGATTTTTGAATGGTGCCCTTTCTCTTTAACAAAGCGTGCAAAAACACATTGTAAATATAGATGGATCAGTTAACCTTTAACTAATGTCACATCATCGTAATGTTGCTTCTCTTTCTCTTTTTTGTAAAGATTATAATGGACGCTGCTCAAAATTTTTTGTTTAACACGTCATTCAACTAAGTATAATTTATTTACTTAGATTTTGTTAACTGCTCCAAATATTTTCATTTGTCTAGTTTTTTTTATCAAACATCAATTACTTAGAATTTTCTCCCTTCATCATTTTTTCCTGATATTAATAAATTGAAATCTTTAAAGTTGTCTGTTAATCATTATCTTGCTTCTTAAACTTCATATTTTCTTTATCAGTAACTTTCAACCTTAATAATGGTTGCTTGAAGCCTTGTTGAAAGTAAAGATTTAAAAAAAGAAAAAAATAACAGCTTCAATGCATTGTTTTCCAAACAAAAACGGAATTAATTTTTGAATTATTTTTTTTTTTTATAAAAAAAGTAAATACCTATACTTCAACAATGAAACTTCGCCCCAGATATTTTCTAATGTGTTGATAATATTTTAACATAACGAAAAACTCAATGCGTTTTCAATTAGATAAAAGCTGCTAACTTCTGCCTAGAAATTTATGCTAATTATACTGGTTTCTGTTATCACCACATAAAGTCTAATCAAAGCAGTTTGGACTTGACATAAAGCAGTTTGGACTTGACACCTTATATTCACACCTTATAAATTATTTGGTAAGCTCATAATAATATATGTAGAAAAAATAATTACGTACGTATTTACAATAACCGTAAAACATATTTATACTATAACAATTAGTTTAAGAAATACTTCAAGAATAATATTACTGTTATAAGGAAAATTCAAGTAAACAAGAAAAATCAAAAGAACAAAAAAAACATTAAATAGGTAAACTATAGAGCATGTATTTAAAAGAGCCATTCTATAAACGTGTACTAGACAACTCATTTATTGAAAAATATAAAAATAAAATAGGTATATATATTTTTTAGTAATTCACCACTCCCCAAGGCCAAGAAAGCCCACTACAGGTGAGAAGGCTGCTTAATTGTGGTTATAACCCATTTTCAACTCTATAACTCCGAAACACGAACCATAAAGAACAAGGCCTGTGCGGATAAACAAGTTGAGCTTGGTACTACCAGTGACGACTAAAACTTTTATTGGTTATTTATTCACTACTTTTTCAAAATAGGATTGAAATTTATTAGGAGATAGTCCCATCATTATTTTATACATGAACATTAAAACTTGGTGTAAGTTGATTTTTTAAATATTTAGTACGCCAAGTATACGCAGACGAGGTTCGCAGGGTACAACTTTATCAGCTCCAGATAATATTCTGCACGCATGCTTTTGTTTACTGTACAATTTTTTAAATTTTGTATTGTTTTTACTTTCCCATGCAATATTACAATAAATCAAATATCAATGAATAAAAGAAAAATATAAACTTTTTAAAGATTTATTATTTAGAAATGTATTAGCCCTATATATCATGGCAATATTTTTTGATATTTTTTTCAATTTTTATTATAAGATCACTCGAACGTAAAATGTTGATTTAATATTACGCACAAAAAGCTTACTAAAGTTTTTTTTTTAATGTTAGCGTTATTGATTAGTAGATTTGGCAGTTTAGTGAAAATATTTTTTAATTTATTTAATTTATGGAATAAAATAAAATTGATTTTATCCACATTTAGAGACAGTTTATTACTCATAAATCACTCATTAACCTTACCCAACTTTTCGTTAGCTGTTTCAAATTGTGTTTTTAATATCTCTGTGGGAATAGAAATTTTTGGAGTCATCTGCAAAAAGAATACAATTTTTTATTTTCATTTTTTTTTTTTTTTTTTTTTTTTCAGCTTACAAAGTTAGTCGTTTTACAATACAATAAACTATTAAAATTACTTTAATAGTTTATTGTATTGTAATTTGGTGGTTTTAATTAGCATGAATATAGTTTATAGAATTCTCTGGCTTCGAATATGGTTGGAAAGTATTGTCGTTAAAATTTAATGTGACGTCAAGATAATTTATAATTTTTATGTTGCGCTGTATTGATATAGTGAGTTCGCTTTTTTAAATATTTCAACAAAATGTTTTTTGACTTTTTCCATTTGGGGACCACTCATTTTATAAAAAACTGCTAAACCATTATCGCGGTACAATCCGAAATCATTTTTATCATAAAACTGTGCAATTTGAAACAAAATATAAACTCCCACAAGATCACAAACTTTAGCACCATCAAACGTTCCCATTGAAACATTGAATAAACCGCTTGATTTTATAATCCAAACTTGGTTTTCGTTAAATAATAATGATTTTCTTGCATGATAGATCAATGTTTTATGGTTAGGGTCAATGTTTAGGTGCTGCTCAGGAAAATTAATACCGTTGTTAAGACGTTTTTCAGATATCGAAAGGTAAAAAAATCACCAATATCAAAAATAAGGAATTTATAAAGGCGTTTAGCACTGATGCAATTAAACCAGTTTATGGTATCTTGGGTTTTTTTCCACTGATTAAGATAAAGTTTCTTTACAAGTTCAGAGTTTATATTAGAAAGTATAACTTTACTAATTCTGCCCATTTCATTTTTGGCAGGGTTTAATAAACGGACATTTGGATTATTTGTAAAGTTTTCTTTATGATCTTTTATATTAAATGTGTTAATAAGTTATTTTAGTGATTATTTCGTTAAAATCACTAAATCTAAAATTAGAGAGGCCAGAATTGTGACTTCATAACCAAATAATCCTTATATTTGTTAATGTTTGCATTTTTATTTAATTGCATTATTTTATTTCGATATTCTACATTAAAACGTATTAACCAAAAAGTGAAAACTAATCAAATATTTATAATATTTAATCCAATATACTTTAAATTACAATAAATAGTTAAAAAAATGTTTTTAATACACTATACTCAAGCTAGTACATTTATATAAAACACACACACACACATATATAATAGATGTTTAAAATAGACCAATGCCAAGATATTAGTTTTTGGTTGCTAGTTTTGATTTGGTTTAAGTAGGTTTTGGTTTTGAATAAGGTTGTTACTCGTTCACAGTTTCGTACTTTAAATCAGACAATGTCAACTCCTTAAAGATTAATATAAAATAAAATAAGAAAAAATATGGAAACTTAATAACGTACCTAGTATAAAACCGAAATAAAATGTTACTAATAACACAATAGAAAATGTTTTTGGTACTTCATTACATATAAATTTCTGTTCTAAATTTTGTTATTTTAATTATCTCGGATATCGTTTTCTAAAGATAAAGTTAAATGGAACAAGTAAATTATATCTTTATTAAAATGTAAATTAAAAAAAAAGTATGACATTACCTTGAAATTATCTGATAACTGAAAGACTCTATACATTTCACATACATCAATACCTATCAGGAGCAAAATATAAGGTCTCTAACCTTTTAAAAACTATGATAAATCAAAACAAGATTAAATATGCAGACCAAAAAAAACCTAAGTAACTATATAAAATAATTAATTTCACAACTTATTTAAACTTACAGTGTCATACCACTTGTCACATGTTTAAATAGCTAATTCTAAAATAATAGTGAATATAGAATATAGTAGAATAATAGTTAAAAAAGTGTGATATAAACTTAGTCTTAACTAAACTAAATAAATATGCATGCCAAAAGAAATGCAAGTTAAAACACAATTTTTTAAAATTTACTAACTCAAACTTACAGTGGAATATCACAAACCACGTGTCTAAAACAGCAAATTCTAAAATAATATAAACACGCCAGTCATAAACTTATTATTATTATTATTATTATTAATAGTTGAAACTCAACTAAATAAATATGCACGCCAATAGAAATGCAAACTACAATATAAATTTTACAACCAATTTAAACTTAAAGTATGACAGCTTATACCAAGTGTCTAAAATAGCAAATTCTAAAATAATATAAACAAGCCATAAACAAACTTAGTTGTAATCTAATTATATAAACATGAACGTCAAAAGAAATGCAAGTCGAAATATAATTTTTTTTAAAATTTTCTTATTCAAACTTACAGTGGGATACCACATGCCACGTGTCTAAAACACTAAATTCTAAAATAATACAAACACATCAGAAATAAACTTAGATTAAAATCAACTAAATAAATATGCAAGTTACAATATAAATTCTACAACCAATTTAAACCTACAATGTGACACTAAATGCCATGCTTTAGAGCAGCAAATTCTAAGATAGTATAAATAACTCATATATAACCTTAGTTGTAATTCAATTAAATAAACATGAATGTTAAAAGAAATAGAAGTTCAAATATAAATTTTTTAATTTTACAACTAGTTTTAACTTACAGTGGGATAACAAATGCCATGTGTCTAAAACAAAAAATTCTAAAATAATATAAACACACCAGTATAAACTTAGTTTACGATGTTGGATGCCACATGTTTAATTTGAAAGTTAATAAAAATTGCAATTAATAAAAGCATATTAACTAGCCATGTAAACTTAGCTGTAACTAACCTAAATGAATATGCCTATCAAAGATGTTAACATTTTAAATTTTACAACTGATTTAAACTAATATGGTATGTTAGTACATGTCATATGTCTAAAATATAAAGTTAAACAAGACTATAAATAATCCATTTAGTCTATATTATAGAAATAATTGTTAATCCTTAACTACTAGTAAAGGATTAGTTGAACTTTTATTTCTATAATATTGACTATATGGATTGCATATATTTTTGCATAAATTTCTAGATTTAGACATTAAGTAACTTATCATATATGATATGTATTGACTTACCATATATGTTATTATATATTATTTAGTAATACTAATGACTTTTAATTTAAAATAAAATAAACCTTATTGCTATAATTTCTATATAAAGCTTTATATAGAAAATTTAAAATAAGTTAAAAAACCTTAGAAACTACAAATAACAGAGCGTAATTTAAATTATATTAATCCATTTGTTTTTTCTACTAAATGTTAAGCTTTTTAAAAAATGTCATATTTCACTTACTGCAACCAACTTTTATCTACGATGTAAATGTAAATGCATTCAAAACTTTATCATTTTCAAAATAAAAAGCTATAGTATACTGAATTTTTTTTTTTGACCTATTAGAATATTTAATCCGTTGAAATATCAAAATTTCAAAGAATCCGTAAATAGTTAGTTTTACTCCGTTAATTTTCTGGTTTTAGGTAACGAATTAATCCGTTAATTTAACGAAAAAGCGCATACCGTTACTTTTTTTAACGGACAGTTTTTAGAGTGTAGGAAATTATTGTATACTTTACAAAATTTAATGTTTTTTATAAGATCTATGAGATCGTTTTCAAATTTAGACATATCAGAAATTTGTTTGGGATAACTTGATGTTTTTATGCCGTAATTATGCATTATGCATTAATATTATGTAATATATATATATATATATATATATATATATATATATATATATATATATATATATATATATATATATATATATATATATATATATATATAACAAAGTTTTCTTATTGGTAGTTCTATTTACACTTTTGTAGGTAAATATGTAAATAGTTTCTCCTAGAAATAGATTTAATAATTTTATTACATAAATTTTTAGTATAATTTGTAACTAAACTTATTATACTGTTGAGAGATAATAAACTAATATTTTTATTTAGACTGGGGCTTTAGAAGGCCAAACATTTCGAAAAACAGGAGTTCTTCCTATATTGAGTGAGCAAAATATAATTGATTGCTCGTATTCTTATGGAAATAAGGGTTGCCATGGTGGTATGATGAATAATGCATTTCAATATATTAAAGATAATGATGGAATTGACAGCAAAGAGGGATATCCATATTATGCTAAGGTTTTTACTTTTATATTCCTATATAAATATATCAGGGTCTATTCTAGAATGTTATCAATAGTGTCGACTGTATTTAGACGTATATATATATATATATATATATATATATATATATATATATATATATATATATATATATATATATATATATATTATATATATATATATATATATATATATATATATATATATATATGTATATATATATATATACACTACTAGTGCTTGACTTACGGACACTTTTTTTTTTTCCCCCCGTTAATCGCAATTTTTATTTCTCTATTTTTACTATATTTTTCATATATGTTCCTTTTTTTTATTTTTTTATTTTATGTCAATTTTTATTTATTCATTTTTAGATTTATTTTTTTGGTAAAAAAAGTTATTTTTTATAAATATTTTTATTATTTTTATTTAATTAATATCTATTATATATATATATATATATATATATATATATATATATATATATATATTATATATATATATATATATATATATATATATATATATATATATATATATATATATATATATATATATATATATATATATATATATATATATATATATATATATATATTTACAAAAACGATTATTTACATTAAATTAACTAACCCTAATCCTAACCCTAATCCTATGCTTGACCTTGCTGCCTGGCAAAACCAAACCCTCAGTTGATGTAGTAGCACTCCCATGCTAGTCAGGCTATTTGTCAGTCGATGTATGTACTTTTCGCTTTGCATAAAAACTATTTACGGGGACATTTTTTTATAAAAAAAAAGCTACTTACGAGGGCAAAAATTATCGAGTACACTAAAATGTCCGCGATACTGCTAATGTCCTCGTAAGTATCTATTTTAATTTTAAATTTGTTCTCACGTATGTTACACCAGGAATTTCATGAATCTTAAAACTATTATTGTTATTAATAACCATTGTTATCAAAACGATTATAAAAGACTGAAATTTTTCAAAGCCAAAAAATGCATTCTTACGGCTAAAAATAAAGTGAGATCTTATTTTAAATTTAGCCCTGAAGTTTTTAAATATAAAGTTATACTAGTAAATATATATATAGTATATATATATATATATATATATATATATATATATATATATATATATATATATATATAATATATATATATATATATATATATATATATATATATATATATATATATATATATATATATATATATATATATATATATATACATATATATATATATATATATATATATATATATATACATATATATATATATATATATATATATATATATATATATATATATTATATATATATATATATATATATATATATATATATATATATATATATATATATATATATATATATATATATATAATAAGTAGTATATATGAATATACATTTATACTAATATATATTCTTTATAATTTAAAATAAAAAGCATAAAACAACATCTGCGTACGAACTAACTTTTCTCTTTGTAACATTTCAACCTGTTTTTACACAGATTGTCTTCAGACGTAAAATATAATACAAAAAACCGTTACAAATACAACATAAAAACGTTAAAGAAGCCATAAATGATAAGTAACAACGTAAATATATAATTTGCAAATTATATTTAAATCTGTTTTTTTGGATAATTTTTTTAAAAATTGGGTGTCCAACTGTTTGTAGAAATTGTAACGCTTTTGTCACTGTTGAGAAGTATTTATTTCACGGTTCTTGTGAAATTAACTACGTCTAACTTTACGTTCATCGTATTCTGATTTTATTGCTAGAGTTTTCGGCTTTGACCAATAAAACATACCATTACATTCTTTACTGTTTTCAGTTGCACTAGATGAATCCCATTAAAATTTTAGCTAGTTTTTTTGATGTTCAATACATCTCGTTAAAATTTTATTTTTTGTTTCGCCAATTTATATACTGTCATAAGAGCATGTGAGTTTGTAGATACCGGGATCGCTCTAGAGAATCAACTTTGACTTGTTGTTGCATAAGATGTTTTTTAACGTAGGTGGTGTAATAAAAATTATTCTGACGTTGTAATGTTTAGTTGTTTTTTTTTAATTTTGGACCTAGTCTTGGAAGCCATGGAACCTTACCTGTATATTTACTTGTTTTTGTTTTACTATAGTTTTTTTTTGGAAGGGTTTTTTCTTTTCTGAATAGAGTTCTTAGAAGTTGTTTCAAGCTTCAATGTATCTTATTCAATCTCTGCAAACATGTTTCATCATTAAGATACTTTGTGGAACAAATTTTAATGGTACGAGATATAGATCTTATTTCATTTTTGTATAAAAATAGCATTGGTTGAGGTAGAGTTCGATCATTTCATGTATATCATTAAGAGTTAATTTAGTACCTTTTTTTAGGTTGTCAATATCGTTGTTTAATCTATCTATAATTATAGAAACTTCTCTCTTAATTAGAATGGAGGGATATAACTTTCTAAAACAAATTAGAGTAAATCCAAAACAAGTAAATATACAGTTAGACTTCCATGGCTCGCAAAATCAGGTCCAAAACTTAGAAAAAAATAATTTTTACTATACCACGTACGTTAAAAAACATCTTATGCAGCAACAAGGTAAAGTTGATTCCCTATAACAATATCGGTGTCTACAAACTCACATGCTCTTGTGGAAGTATTTACATTGGCAAAACAAAAAAGAAAACTTTAACGAGATGCATTCAACATCAAAAAAAATTGTTAAAAGATTATTGGGCTGCATCTGGTGCAACTGAACACGATAGAGAATGTAATGGTATGTTTCATCGGTCGAAGCTGAATCTAGCAACAAAATCATCATACGATGAACGTAAAGTTAAAGAATCACTTGAAATTAACTACGCCTCAACAAACCAGGAAATAAATCACGCTCCTATACTTCTCAACCGTGACAATGGCGTGAAAAATTCTACAAATAGTTAGGGACCTTTTTTTAAAAAAATTATTTAAAAAAAAAGAACTTAAGTAATATTTGCTATTTAAATGTTTTGTTGTTACGCATCATTTCTGGCTTCTTTTTAATGTCTACTTAAACCTTTTTATGTAATATTTGTAACAATTTTTAGTATCATATTTTACGTCTGATTACATCTGTGCAAAAACACGCCAAAATATTACAAAAAAAAACTTAGTTTGTACGCAGCTGTTATTTTATGCTTTATATTTTAAATTATAAATTAGTAGAAAATCACCTAGCAAAATTTTTTCTCATTTAACACTGTGTTTCATCAATAAAGACTCATCAGAAATAAATGATCAAATTAATAAAACTTCAATTTATACCAAAAGTTAAACTACAGGAAGTTACATGTCTTAACGACTGCAACTTTTCCTACATTTGTGTAATTTGCTGACACTATTGTAAAAAGAATTTTTTAGAAATGATTACTTAAGCTTTTTTAAAAAATAATATTTTTTTTTCAAAGGGGAGTTAATGTAACTATTACTTGAGCTCATTTATTTTTAGAATTTTTGAGGAGAAACTTATTTTCGTGCCTGCATTTAGAAATCAATTCCGATTTTTAGTTTATAAACATTCTTGGTTTGTATGTGTTATTATTTCAAACTTTTCTTGTAGACATAGTATGTATTTTTTGGAAATATTGTTATGTGTAGGCACTGTTTTAAGGATGGACCAATTCAGTGTAAAATCATCAATATTTTTATCTTTTAATTCCCATATATATTTTGACAGCATGGTGTCTTTTAAATACTTTTTATTTTTAAAAGATTGCTTATGATTGGCAAAATATTTTTTCCATTCACCTTCTGTTATGCCGATATATATTGTTTATCAGGTACATTATTAGAGGAGACAACACATTTATATACCACATTTTTTTATAAGCGACTTCCACTCATTGGAAAATTGTTTTTTTGTTTACAATTACAATTTTCTGTAGTTTTTTTATTTTGAATTTCTTTTTTGTTTAACAAAGCATTGTTGTGACCTTTTATAATTCTTTCCATATTTTTTGTGCAACTGTAGCTAACTTTAATAGTATTTCGATTAAAAATTTTATGTAATTTATTAGAGGGAGGGAAATGCATATCGACCAATTTTAAAAATACTTTTTCTATGTTAATGGAAACATTTTTGCCACATGGGGGGTTAAACCAAATTACATTTCTAGTTCTGTTCCGTTTTTTTGTATTATTTTTATCAGGATCAAATTTTAGTTCAAAATTTTCAAAACCGCTTTTTTTAAGGGCATCTTCAAATTTTCTTTTGGAGGAATTAAATACATTTTCATCAGAGGAGTTTTGGTTTAATCTGTTATTAATTGAAATCGGGATTTGTTTTAGAATTTGTGGTGGATGATCTGAGTTAATATTAATATACAATAATTCATCGTTTTGTTTTTTAAAAGGCTTATATGAATTTTCCGAAAGGTTAAATGTAACATCAAGAAAGTTCACAATTTTTAAATTTATGTTTGTTTCAATTTGAAAGCCAATATTTTTAAAAATTTTTATAATATCTTTTCGAATCTTATCGAGCTGTGGACCAGATTTTTTAAGGCATTACTATTAAACCATTGTCGCGATAAAGGCCTAAACCATTTATATTGATTATTTTACTTAATAAATCTAAAATGTATAGTCCAACAAACTTACAAATTTCTGCTCCGTCATAACTGCCCATTGTCACAAATCAGTCATGTATTTTTTTCTTTTTCTAAGTATCCTTATTAAAGTATAGTAAGGTTTTTCTACAAGGTTTTATTATGCGGATTGTTTCTTCAGGATTAACTGTGTGGCTTTTTGCATATTCGATTGTTTTATTTAAAATATCTGCAGTTATTGAAGGTTAAAAATCATTAATATCAAATTGAATAAATGTACAGTCATCTTTATTTTCGATTATGGAGAACCAATTTATAACATTAGTGGTATTTTTCCACTGTTTCAAATTTAATTTATTTCTAAGAAGTTTACTAATTTTGTCCAATTTAATTTTGCTTAAATGTCCAATCTCACTTTTTG